CAGAAAGATCTCACCCGTTTGTTATCCTGTAAAATAACCCAAAGTTGTCAGGGAATAGAAGAGAGTGGACGACATCATGAATTGTGTGCGAAATGATTTAATTTTTGATGATTATGTTTGAAATTAAAACAAAAAAGATGTTGTTTAAATGCAATATAAATAACAATTTTAACATGTATTTATATAAAGTTTTATATTAAACATTTTATTTATTGTAATAACTATCCAAATAAACTTGATACTTTAAAGTTGTTATTAGTTTATAATGTTAACAATTGCAAAATCTTGATACTTGTAATTATGTGATATTATTGTTTAACATTCTTAAACGATTTCAACATTAAAATTGATAATATTTTTATAAAATGGATGTTATGTCTCTATTGTGATAATAAAAAAACACTAAACGTCATTATTATCGAATAACATGTTGATGTTTTTTAAATAATTTAAAAATAACCAACCAAGAAAATAACTAACATAAATTTAATAAGACAAATTTAAACATTTTTACTCACTTCATATAAGCAATATAAACATAATAATTAATTAATAATGTTATTGTTCAATGACAATTAACACTATTTATCTCGATTTGGTGATAAAAAACATTGAGTAAAACAATTAAACAATGTGATACATTTGTTAAATTTAACTATTAAATTTTATCATATGATGTTGCATTAAATTTGTGTTATACATGTTATCTTTGAAATTTTCAACAAAATGAATTATGGATAAACCATGACTCCAAACTCGCTTGATAAATTTTCAACTTTTTTTAAACTTTGAGGAAAATGGATGATATCATACCCGTAATAGTTGTGTAAACATTGTTTTGATAAATAATTTACACCCTTCGGTATTTCGCATATTTTCTGGTTATTTTCTATGACAATTCTCGAGTATTTTTCAAAATCACATCCCACGAAATATATATTTTTGCATTGAACCCCATTCTTCAAAAACTTCTGAAATACACCAAATGAGATTGGAAAGTCAATTTCATACACTTGTTCTCCTTCTATATAAATTTCGTGTAACTTTTCGCAATTCAAAAAAGCTATTGGTGATAATTTTGAAACACTTTTAGGTAGATAAATCCGTTGTAAGTTGACGCAATTCAAAAATGTATAATTTCCAATATAAGTCACTGTTTTTGGCAAAGAAATTTCCTCCAAATTAATACAATTTGCAAAACACAAATCTTTGAGACATTCAACACGATTTCCTAGTATTATTTTTGATAATGAAGAACATTGTTCAAATGCTTTATCCCCAATTGAAGTCACGAAATTTGGCATTTCAAACTCTTTCAGAAGACAACAATTTGAAAACGTACATTTCGAATTAATGTTAACTCGACCAGTTTTAATGACTTGAACTGACGACAATGTCCGACAATTAATAAACACATCTCGACCTTCTAATACACTTTCTGGGAAAATTACACTTTTTAGTTTCAAACAATGGCAAAAGCAAA